TAAAATAAAAGGTGTGTTGTATAAGGCGCACCTCCAAATTATCAAACAATGTAATTTAGGTGTAAAAATTACTTAGGTAGTATCTGAAATACTATTTATATCTAATATAAATTAATATATATATATATATATATATATATATATATATATATAATTTAAATCAAGTAGATTTATAAACATTTGAAAATATTGAAATTGGACAGTCTAGATAATGTGTTGTTGCATGATGCATTATTTCTGGGACTCAAATCTTTTTTTTTTCTATATTCGTACATCTTGATGTCGAGATGATCAATTAGAGGGTTCTTCAAAATCAAAACAACATTTTCTAATGGATTGTTGAGGTGCATCTTTAATTTTATATTTTAAGTTTGCAACCTTATATAACTTTTTTAAAAATAATTACAAATAAGAATTTTCATTTTTATCTAGAATTCGATGCATTGGGATGATAACATTTCGTAGGTTTGCTTTAAAATTTCGAGTTATTCACCGACACTCAAAGGGGAATCACAAAGCGAAATTCGTTAATGTCCACCCGAGATTACCATTGAAAGTTTTGTCCCTCACCACCACCGGTTTTAAGGATAAGTCCTATGAATATTATAGGAATACCATGAGAGGTACCCTTCTTTTTTGAAGACAACAATTGAGACAACCCTTTTGTTTAAGAAACTATGTCTATACCACAAATTATACAATAATATTGTGTATTTTGACAAAAAAAAAAAGTCAAAATACTTTTATATATTAGATGTGAAAGCTAGTTTCTTATTTGGACTTCAAGACAAATTCCTTGCTGTCGAGTTTGACATCTATGGCTAGATGTGATTTTGATATGGCACCAAAAATAAACAGTTTATAGAATCCCAATGTGTGTATTGGAAAAATATATGAGGACCGGAAAAATAAATGAAGAATTACCGTATGGTCTATGTTGTCCCCAATTTTTCATCCATGTCCTACTTGATAGAGCTTTTGATTCCAAAATAGCCTCCAACTCGATATTAGCAACAAAGGTCCATTTTTCTTTAATTCTTGTATTTTTATGGTCCCTAGGGCTGTGCGATACCCCATAAATAGGACCGCCCCCATATTTGGGGTCTAGCCGAAGTGTAGGACAGTCCGATATTGCTGACAACGAACCACATCATTTGGTGGAAATTTTTAGAAGTATGAGGCAACTCGATAACAGGAATACTGAATTTTTTTTTATTTAAAAAAAAAATTAAAGGAATGTTGAATTTTCCTATACTTCAATTAGATTCATAGACGGTTCAATGTTGCTAATGTCAAACTGCCCCAAATATGGGGTTTGAATTTTTGGGAAAGATTTGTTTTAAAAAAAGAGTTTGATATTCGTACATCAAACTCTGGAATAAAGAAATAAAAAAGTTGGAGTTAGTTGTAGAATTGGGCAAAATATGAACCATATAGACATATCTTTTGCTTTTCGGTCTATAAATAATTTTTCTATGGATGTTGTTTGTATAAGGTTGAAGCCCTACACAATAAAAGTAAGGCATACCTTTAAATTGTGCCGAAAGATGATTTTTCAGTAGCAAATTTTTTTGTGATGGCCTGAAAATTCACTTTTATCTCTAATTATAAAATTTAAAGCTTCAAAATTAGTGTAGATCAAATTATTAAAAAAAATAATAGTGTAAATCAATCAAATCTATAGACACTTTGAAAATATTGAAATTTGATGGCCCAGAATAATGCTGCTAGAAGATGTGTTGTTTCCCAAATTGTAATTCTTTTTATTTTTATTTTTCACGTCTATACATTTCGAGGGTGAGATGATTGATTTGACGGTTTTCTCTCTCTCTCTCCC